CTTCACAGGACAAGACATATGTGTAAATCACCTAGGCTGTTTATATAATTTGTTATTAGATCCAAAGTGAAGGCTGTTTCAGCACAAAGACTCTAAATGGGTTTCTGACTGTATTAGAACAGTCTGTGCCATTGATAAACTGAGCCCTCTACATCATAGTAGAACTCATTCTACCAGAGACCAGGTCACTTCAGCAGCCTGCCATGGTCTTCCGCTTACACGTTCACTCAAAATTATTCTCTGGTGGAGGCTTCTAGCTCAGATGCCCCATTTGGTAGGGTGGCGCCACCAAGTGTTCAGATGAACTCCGACCTTCCATCCTGTGTAGAAGTCAGCTGCTGGCTAATTGCCATGAGTAGGATCCATGTATACAACTATGCGAAGAAAACATGGTTACTTACTGTACAGTAACTCTAATTCTTTAAGATACTCTGCACATGCGGATCCCATGAGCCACCCTCTTTTCCCGCAGCTTGGAATTTAACATATGAATTCTGGATGCTGAAGGAACTGAGTGCTGGTTGGGGTCACTCCATTATTTGTGTCTTCGGGAGGGGAAGAGCAAGGGTGTGCAGGGTGCATTTGCCACCCCAATGGGTGCTGCTGGTGAGAACATTCGAAACTCCTGTGCATAGGGCATGTGCACCATGACTAGGATGGACAGAACATCTTGAAGAAACACAGTTACTGTCAGGTAAGCTAACTTCTGTAAAAGATGGTTACCAATAGCTAAATGTAAACTCCATAAGTTGTATACCCTCCAGGGCTAACAGAAGTTCCCCTCCTGGCTCTCCCTGTAGGACCATAAAACACACTGCAGTGGACCATAAATTATCCTGAGAGCTTCCCTTGATTTTTTTCTTCCTCTGAAGCAGCTGATGCTGGCTGCTGTCACAGGTGGGATACTGAATTAGATGAGCCATGAGTCTGATCCAGTCTGGCAATTCCTATATCCTATATCTGTACTAGCCAGGGATTGAACCTAGATCAGTTCCACCCATTACTTTAGCAGGGGTCTCTGTTTTCTGGGGCTAGAGTACAGGCCTTCTTGTTTACTATCTAAAGGGCTCTGTCCATTAGGGATCAAACTGAGCCTTACTTCTCAAAGGAGTTAATGTTGAACAATATTTATTAGGGATAAATATTTTAAAATCAGCAGGCCTGGCTAACTTGTATTCAAGAGACCTAAAAAAGTTGACTGAAGAGCTCTCTGGCTCGCTGATGTTCATTTTTAATAAATCTTGGATTCTGGGGAAATTCCAGAAGACTGGAAGAGTGCTAATGTTGTGCCAATATTCAAAAAGGGCAAGTGGGATGACCCAAGTAACTATAGGATGGTTAGCGTGACATTAATCCTGGGCAAAATAACGGGAAATCTGATAGGGGAGTCAATTGATAAAGGGAGTATAGTTAATGCCAGTCAACATGGTTTTATGGAAAATAAATCTTGTCAAGCAAATGTGATTTCATTCTTTGAGATTACAAGTCTGGTTGATAAAGGTAACTGTGTAGATGTAATATACTTAGACTTACATAAAGTGTTTGACTTAGTACCGCATGACATTCTGATTAAAAATTAGCCCAATACAGTATAAATAGAGCACACATTACATGGATTCAGATCTGGCTAAGCAGTATCTCAAAATGTAGTTTTCAGTGGAGAATATCATCGCATAGGGGTGCGATGTTCTGCAAGGATCAGTAGTAGACCTGCTGCTATTCAGTGTTTTCATCAGGGATCTGGAGGTAATTATAAAATCACTGCTGATACAATTTGCAGATGACCCAAAGAGGGCAGAGTAGCAAATAATGACAAGGTAGTCAAACAAAGTGATTAGGATTGTTTGGTAAACTGGGCCCATTAAAAAATGTATTTTAGAACAGCCAAATCCTAAATTGCACTTCTAGGAAAAAGGAATTCAGGCCACATCTGCAGAATGGGGGACTGTAACCTGGAAAGTTGTGACACTGAAAAGGATTTAGGGGTCATAGCAGACAAGCAAATGAACAAGAGCTCCCAGTGCAAAACTGTGGCAAAAAGGGCTATTGTGATTCTGGGATGTATGAACAGAGGAATAGTGAGTAGGAGTAGGGAGGGATTTTATCCATAGATATGGCACAGGTGAGATTGATACTGGGATCATCGTGGATAGTTCTCTGAAAACATCTGCTCCATGTGCTGCAGCAGTGAAAAAAGCTAGCAGAATGTTAGGAACCATTAGGAAAGGGACAGATAATAAGACAGAAAATATCATAATACCACTATATAAATCCATGGTAAATCCACACCTTGAATACTGCATGTAGTTCTGGTCCCGCCCTCTTAAAAAAGATATATTGGAATTGAAAAAGATGTGGAGAAGGGAAACAAAAATTATTAGGAGTACGGAACAGCTTCCATGTGAGGAGAGATTAAAAAGACTGGGATTGTTCAGCTTCAAAATGAGACAACTAAGGTGGAATATGATAAAGATCTATAAGATCATAACTGGTGTGGAGAAAGTGAATAGGGAAGTGTTATTTACCCCTTCACATAACATGAGAATTAGGGATCACCCAATGAAATTAATAGATAGAAGATCTAAAATAAACAAAAGGAAGTACTTCACACAATGCACAGTCAACTGGTGGAACTCATTGCCATGGAATGTTGTGAAGAGCAAAAATATAACCGGGTTCAAGAAATAATTAGATAAGTTCATGGAGGACAGGTCCATCAGTGGCTATTAGCCAGTATGGTTCATGGATGCAGCCCCATGCTCCAAGTGTCCCTAAATCTCTGACTTCCAGAAGCTGGGACTGGACGATGGGGTGGATCACTCGATAAATTGCCCTGTTCTGTTCATTCCCTCTGAAGTGTCTGGCACTGGCCACTGTTGGAAGACAGGACACTGGGCTAGGTGGACCTTCGGTCTGACCCAGTACGGCCATTTTTATGTTCTGGTGTTCACCCTTTAAGAAGGTTGTTGAAAGACAAGTGGGTGCAGAAAAGAGCCACAAAAATTATTCAAGGGCTGGAAAAAAATGACTTACAGTGAGAGACTCAAAAGAGCTCTGCCTGGTTAGCTTATTAAAATGAAGATTGAGAGGTGACTTGATTACCGTGTCTAAGAACCTTTATGGGGAGAAAATACCAGGTGCTAAAGGACTCTCTAATCTAGTGGAGAAAGACAGAACCAGTGCCTGGAAGCTGAAGCCAGACAAATTCAAATTGGAAATAAGGCACAGATTTTCAACAATTAACCACTGGTACAAACAATCAAGGGAAGTGCTGGATGTTCCATCTCTTTATGTCTTCAGATCCAAACTGGATGCCTTTCTGGAAAAGATGCTTTAGCCAAACGCAAGTTATTGAGCTCAGTACAATGTTAACTGGAAAAATTCTATGGTCTGTCATGTAGAGGGGGGCAGACTAGATCCTCTGATGGTCCTTTCAAGACCTAAAATCTGTATTAAACAAAGGCTGTTTAACCTGTGAAATGATGTGAGATCTAGAATAATAGAATCATAGAAGTGCAGGGCTGGAAGGGACCTTGAGAAGTCATCTAGTTCTGCACCCTGCACTGAGGCAGGACCAAGTAAACCTAGACCTTCCCTGACAGTTGTCTAATAACTTGTTCGTAAAAATCTCCAATGACGGGGATTCCACAACCTCCCTGGGAAGCCTATTCCAGTACTTAATCACCCTTATAGTTAGAAAGTTTTTCCTAATAGCTAACCTAAATCTTATTTGCTATAGATTAAGCCCATTGCTTCTTGTCTGACCTTCAGTGGACATGGAGAACAGTTGATCACCATCCTCCCATTGCTGTCCTGAGTGGCTACACTGAAGTGCTATAGCAGTGCAGCTGCAATGGTTTAAGTGTAAACGTAGCCTAAACATGCACAGTTTTCATTAAACCTGTCCTCATAGAGCAGGTTTGCTAAACCTTTAGTCATTTGTGTTGCTCTCCTCTGGACTCTCTCCAATTTGTCCACATCTTTCTTAAAGTGCGGCGCCCACAGCTGGACACAGTACTCCAGCTGAGGCCTCACCGTGCTGCAGAGAGCAGGACGATTACCTCCTGTGTCTTAGGTAATGTCTAGTACATGAGCTAGGAGTGTGGTTTCCCCTGCTCAGGTACATATGCTCGGAGTAGCTCGATGAGACCGATTGTGACTATAAATAGCAGTGTAGCCATGGCAGCACAGGTGGTGGCAGCAGTGACATGACTGAGCTGTACCTAGTACCTACCCACCCATTTCAGGCAGGTTTGTACTTGGCACAGCTCAGCCATGCTTTCGCTGATGCTGCCTGTGCTACCGCAGCTACACTGCTATGTATACTTGTGCGAGCTCTCACTGAACTACTGCAAGTGTGTGCACAACAGCAGGGGAATCACACCCCTAACTTGTCGTGTAGACATAGCTTTACATACAAGACTCCTGTTAATATGCACAAGAATATTAGCCTTTTTTGCAACTGCATTACATCGTTGGCTCCTATTCAGTTTGTGATCCATTTTAACCCCCAGACCCTTTTCAACAGTACTACTGCCTAGGCAGTCCTTCCCCATTTTGTATTTGTGCATTTGATTTTTTCCTTCCTAAGTGAAGTACTTTGCACTTGTCTTTATTGAATTTCATCTTGTTGATTTCAGACCAGTTCTCCAATTTGTCAAGGTCATTTTGAATTCTAATCCTGTCCTCCAAAGTGCTTGCAACCCCACCCAGGTTGGTGTCCTCACAAATTTTATAAGCATATTCTCCACTCCATTATTCAAATCATTAATGAAAATATTGACTAGCACTGGGCCTAGGATTGACCCATGTGGGACCCCACTAGATGTGTTCCCCCACTTTGACAGCAAACCATTCATAACTACTCTTTGAGTACAGTCTTTAAGCCAGTTTTGCCCCCACCGTATAGTAATTGCATCAAGACCACATTCCCCTGTATTGCCCTTGGCTTTTGTTCAGCTTTTGTGTCTAACCACCTTCTCTTCCCTTCTCCTCTCCAGTTTCGGTACAAGAGGCGTGTGTACACCCAGAGTCTGCTGGATGACAAGCAGTTTGCCAAGCTCCACACAAAGGTAAGACTGGCATTTAGCCTCAGGGAGCTCGAAGTCTGTACAGCATAATCTGTATTGACAGCCTATCCAGATAAGTCATAGTCTGTCGGAGAGAATCTCGCTGGCAAAGAGAGTGTCAGAGAAAAAGAGATCTGTGTACATTCCAGACTTCCCCCTTTGCCAGATCTCAAATTCCCCCCTAAAAATGTGTGTTGATTGCCAAGGGCTGGGTTGTGTTACTTAGTGATCTGAGCTGAAGGCCCCCCCATGGAACTGTGGCTGGAAGCCCACCGTGGTGACATTGAACTGGTTCCATTCTCTCAGCAATCAGTTGTGCAGCTGGATTGAGTTCTGAGGGAGAGGTCAGGGCTAAGCCTCTCTGGGATGGTGAGGCTGGGAGAAACACATGATGGGCCAGCTGAAGAGCTGCTTTATTCGCTGATATTGATGAGTCACTGAATACCAGTACAGCACAATGCCATACATTGACAAGCACCCTTCCTCTCCCCTGACAGACACTGCAGGGCTTCTCTTCCTCACACACAGAAACAGTATTGCACTGCCTTGTTCACAGGCTTTAACCCATGTGTGTATCTGGACTGGAGCGTCGGATTTCTCCGGGGACTAGTCATCTGGCTTGAACTAAGTTCAGAGTGGAGACCACTTTAGTAAAAAGAGCAAAATAATTTTTTGTGTCTGTTTCCTGGAAGGGAATGTACTTTCCAAGTCCTCCACTTCCCAAGTACACTGCAGATGGGTGGTGTGTGTGTGTGTGTGTGAGAGAGAGAGTGAGTTCAGACATTACACTGGGAAGAACTTTTTTTTTTAGGAACCTAGCTGAAACTCACATATCCTTTTCTCCATAGTTCTTCACAATTCAGACAGAGCAGCTGGGGATCAGGAGATGGTAGCACAGTCATGCCCTTTCAGCTATGGCCAGTCTGTCTGCCATGTGGTAATGGTACAAAAATGGTGCTGGAGAGTGACCCAGCACTGGCCATGTCTTATCTGAATGCAGTGACATGGTGCTCTTCCTATTCCCAGGAAGCTGGGGCACGATTCTGTGACTTGCTTTCCACTATAAGAAACTCAAGGTACGATAGTAGAGAAGACTAGGGCTTCTTCAGGATTTCCCCAGGATCAGGTCCTCACTCCCGGGGCTGGGATACCCCTCTTGTCACCAGCAAGCAGGGACTCTCACCCACCAGAGCTGGGGGATTCAAATATTACTGACAGGCATAGACACCCCTTCTTTCCCCCGAGCCTGATCCTCCCCCCCAGGCCAAGGTATCCTTAATTGTTGTTGATTTGTATAGTGGTAGTCCATAGAGGGCCAATCAGGATCGGGCCCAGTTGTGCTGGATGCTGCACAAGGACTTAGAAAGACAGGATTTCCTGTTTTGAAGAGCTTAGGATTTAATTGGAAGCAAGATGCAATCAGCAAGAATGAGAAACAATGGATGATAAAAGAGGAATGAGGACGAGACTTCCTGTCCCACAGCTCCAAAGGTTAGCTGTGTACATAGCTTGCTTGATGGTTCCAACACATTTGAAAGTATTAAAAAATAAAAATAAACAAATAGTGTGAGCTACTCCTGACTCCCTGCAGTCTGGCCATCAATAAGGGCTGATTTCTTATAAGAGTCACAGGAGAAGAGGGACTTAAGGAGGAGAGAGTAGTGGCTTTATGGAGAAACTCATGATGGGTGTTCTTCCCCACATGCCATCATTTGACTCTGACCTGCTTGGAAGGGGACCCCTCGTATCTACCCTCAGGCATAGACTCTGACCTACTCAAACTGGGGCTGCCTTGAGCCATCTCCAGGCACTGCCTCTTCAGCTGCCAGTCACTCTTGCAGTGTGAAATGGAAAGTGTATTATTACTGCAGTGTGGAGTTTCCTTCAGACACATGCCATTTGTCCCTGTTTCTTCCTCAGTGCTCATGGCAGTGCTGGAGTCTGTTTGACCTTCAGCTTTAGGCTTCCTCAGTTCAACTCCTGGCACAATTCCTTAGGGCAGTGCTGGGATGTTGGGATCTTTGATGCTGCTGACTTATGCTGCTGGGCAGAGGGGCAGAAAAGGGTCAATTGGTCTATAAACCAGCAGCAGCTGAATGAGAGGAACTCTGAGCAGATCCTAAGCAGAAAGAGAGAAAACAATCTCCCCAAAAGGCTTGTCCTTCCAGATGGGACCCTCTATCCTGGGAAGAGGGAATTACAGGCCCTTCCGTTAGCCTTAGCAGGATTGCTGCAACATGGGACTAACTGTGTCTGTGGAGTGACACAAGGGAGAGATTTTGTGCAGTGAGTAGCATGATGTTTGACACAAGAACCTTTGTGCAATGGACACGAGTGTCCCGCACTCTCCTAGTGGCAAGGAGTTCAAGTCACTATTGCATGGCACTAGTGGACTATGCAGCTTGAGGGCCATGTTTTCAGAAAGGCGGGGGCGGAGGACTAGTGTATGGTGGGGGGACATCTGAGCTTGTGTGCAAGGTGCTGCCCCCAAAGATGTGTGGGGAAATATATAGGCACTTTGCAGACAAACTTCTATTAAAAATAATCCCTTTGTGTTGGGTCTTCTTTTGTTCCCCAAACGGTATTGAATCTGTCCCTTAGTATGCAGACAGGGCAGTGCAATGAGGAGCTGAGCCTCCAGTCCCACCTGATTTCTGTGGGGAAGATGCTGATTTGTGCATTTAATTTAGTTAGCTTTTTCCTGTGTATGTGTGTTGCATCCACTGATGTGTCGCTCCGAGGTCGTGAGGATCAGGCAGCAAAAGAGAAGCCCATATCCAGCAGCCAACCGGAGAGACTGTTCCCTGTGAGGGACAGAGAAATAGAGTGGCAAAGAGAGAGGGGGAGGCTGTCACACAGCAAGACAAAAGTGTGTGTGTGACACGCACGCCTGCTGCTCACTTGAAGAGAACACGGTCCTGAAAGCCAGCGCTGGTGTAACTTGTACCCTTGGCACAGACTGCTGCTGCTTTACTTGGAGAGAATGAGATTGTGGAATGCATGTGTTTGCAAGCTCCACATCTCAGTTTGGAGCCTGCTCTGGCCTGAGACAGGGACTGAGAGACCGGAGTGAGAAAGGAGAGGGGCAGAGTGAGGGACATGGGCTCCTCCCTAGGAAGAAAACTGACTGAACAGAAAGACAAAAGGCAGACTTCAGGGGCTAGCAGGTCCAGAGTGAAGAGCAAGGTACCCTCTGCTTCCATCCTCGTCTCCTATTCCGTTCTTACAATTACAGCCCTAGGCATGTCTCTGTGAGTAGGGTCGTGGTGTGTTGGTGCCAGGACGGCCCTCACGCGCTGTGGCACTGTGGCTGATGGATGTGATGGATCTCACAGGAGCATTGGATTTGGGTGAGAGGTTTTGTGTTTGAGAAACATTTTTTGTGGAATATCTCTGAGACAGTCTGAGGGCAGAGTTTATTTCCCTGTGGTGTGACCATTGGTATGTAGTTGGCTTACATTTCTAAGCAAACTGGTGTGTATATTTATACCCCTTCCTTTGTGTGGGTTGGGGCATCAGTTTTGAGGCTATTTCCCTTGGGAAAATGGATGCACATAGCTGATTTCTTTTGGGCACAGTATATAGTGTACAGCTCTCTCAGGACGATGACATGAAAACAGGATTGATTCTACTTGGTTTGTGGTGCTGTGGGATCTCGTGGTGCTGTGGTGCATAGCATATTTCTAGAGGCAGTTGTTTTGAATACTATAAGAGATTTGTCCATCTGCTCAGCAGAGTACAAGAGACTATATCTCGGTGGCCAGCAGCATTTGGCGTTACAGAGTGGGGGAGGTGGGAGGGAAAGGAAAGGAGGATCCTTGTACTCTGTACCTTTCCTGCATGCTGACCATATCTGTGTGTGTGGCGGTGATTCTCACATGGCAGTGATGGTTAGGATATCTCTGGAGGCGGTACTGAAATTTGGCATTCTCTCTTCAACAAAGCTATTATGGCTGTTGGTTGGGGTGTCAAGGATTTTCCCTTTTGTGTCAATACAGACTGGTGACATTTTGGTGCTGCTTAGTTTTGTTTAAAAATCTGCCTTCTGTATGCTCATAACTTTTTCCTAAATGACTCAGGTTTGGGCTGAATTATCTCATGACTCAGTCTTGCCAACTCTGCAATTTTATTTTTATAATTTATTTTTATTGCTAGTCCTTAAATTTTTTTAAAGACCCAGCTCCCAGATCCATGTGATTGTGTGAGAATATCAGCTTCCATTTCAGAATAAAGCAAATTTTAGTCCTTGTGGTTGCAGAGAAAAGCCTTCTTGGCAACAAGAGCACACT